CTTGCGAAAGGAACAGGAGATTCAGAGTGAATAAACAAATGGATGTAGACCTTGGAGAAGATCTTAAAAACAAGTAAATGAACAAATAAAAAAATAAGTCTCTCTTCATCAAGAAAGCAAGCTTCCAGAAAATCTGAAACTCTAATTGTCACTATCAAGAGGGGACACAGTAATTGACTTGAGACCCATCAAACACAGTCTTGGGATAAACAGATCAAGTCCATTAATTCACTCATTTATTGACAATTCACAAATTTATGAATTCACAACATTTGTTGCTGTTTTGCCTGCAAGGAAAACAACTTATTCCTAACCTCCAGAACATTCGGTTTGGGGTTTGCATTAGGAGTGACTGCACATAACTGGATAAGGAAGAGGCACTCCTCACCCAGTGGTGCACTGGATCTCTTAACCAGGCTTCTGGAAGGACTTAACAAGCCCCACAATGGTTTCAAGGGGTACAACTGGGAGGGAAGCATAGGGAAAGCAGTTTAAACCACATGGGCCAAAAGAAAAGCCAGCAGTGGAGGCCAGGGGCAGCAGAAATCTCTTTCAGCTACTACTGGTGAGACTCAAGGATGTCCAGTGTGCAGCACCAGACTGATGTTCAGATTTATACTTTGGATCACAGAGTCACATTTACCTCTTCCCTTTTTAATCAACTGGCAAAGAGTGAGATTCTGCAGTTGGTTCGCAGATGTATATCAAGTAACAGGCAATCACTTTACTCACACATCAACACTTCCCACTTTTAGTGAAGAACCACAAGTTTGAAAGCTGTTTCCCATCCCACCCCAGTCTATTAGTAATAAGGGTATTCATTACAGCAGTTTAAATATAGAGGGAAAATAGGTTGCTTAGCTTGGAGAAAAATGTGTAGGAGAATAGTCAGTGTGATGCAATGCTGTCTGAAAATTGATTTCACAACAGTCATTACACCAAAGCGTTTAAGAAAGTGACCTTAAGAGACAAACTTGTGAAAAGTAACCAAGAAAAAACTTGTACCATGTAATCTCTGGGAGTCACATGGATGTCAAATTGGTAAGGAAAACACTTTGGTTTGTCTGTAAAGCTAGTGAACAGAATGTATGCCACAGTGATAATGAACATCCTTAAGGTTTCCTAGCATTTACTGTTAGGACCATTTTCCAACCTTTCTTAACATGTTAGAAGCTACTTCATCATGAACCATTTTTCAGAGAGCAGAATTCCTTCGCTGACAAGAACAAAATGTTGGAAGTCTGTTTTGCTACTTTTTAAGGACTCTTACAGGCAGTTTTACTTAAAATCATCTCATCCATACTTTGATGCATAATTCTTCGAAATTCTGCCAAAAAACCTCAAAACTTTATGCTGGGCATAAAACTTCTGGTTTTGTAAAAAAGCTGCCACTCCTTATGCAATCTCAGAGTCTCTGAAAAAAGGTAAATTAAAATTTGCCTTATGTCTATAATGACAATTGCTAATGCATTTCAGGGTTCTTTCCGAATCTTTATTTACTAACTTAAACTCCTCAACTCTGTCCTTAATGCAGGTTTGACGTTCTGCTGTGCTTTGGAATAAGCTTTCCAATGTTCCCTCCAGAGGTACACACAAAACAGCATCACAAAAAATCTAGCATTTCATTAACCTTCTGGCATCCCATTTCCTTGTCTTGACAGGAACATCTTGACAAGCTCCATCTGACTCCTACAATGACTCTACTATAAGATCAAGAAATTGAATGTAAAAAGCCACTGAACAAGCTCCATCTCCACTTCACTTGGCAAAGGAGCAGCCCATGTAGATCAGGCTGGGCAAGGAAGACTGGTATCAACCTTGCCAGTATAGATATACATGCACACTGTACTCCCTGGTATTTTCCAAAACAATTTAGAGTTTGGCAGCTATATTCTTCAAGACTCCCCTGTACCTGGCACACTCCAGCCTGAGCAGCAGCAGCAGCGCGAGAATTTTCCAGCAGTGATTGATGATTCACGCATCCAGGAACTGCTGCAGTTGCAAGTGCAGCAAACAGCAGCACGGACAATGTCTCTTCAGTGCTCTCGCTGCCACCTCAGCTAGTGTGCCAAGATATGCAGGGGTGAAAAGAAGTCTGATACAGACACAGGGGGAAGTGTACAGGTTTTGGTGCAGAGAACAAGAGAAGAGAGATGCAGATTAGACAGACGCCATGGAAAAATGAGGTATAAGCAAAGTGAGCACAACTGAATTAGAACAATAGGAGTGAAGGGGCTGTATGCGTGTGAAATTCTATCAGAAGAGACAGAGGTATAGAAGCAAGAGAATCCAACTACAAGTGAACGTAAAATCAAGGAAACATTAGATCATTATCTTTCGCTGCTCTCAGAAAGTAGCTCAGACAAAACACACAAAAAAAATTTCTCCCAATCTTTTAAGATTAGCATACCTCGAGGATAACTGCTAGCCTTGGCTAATTTTAGCCAGATCAGCTCAAGCTGTAAAGGGACATGATTTAATGGAGAAGTTTGGACTGTAAGGAAATGAGGGTATATACAACTGTTGCATCTTTTTTTCCATTAAAAAGGACAAACCAAAAAACCAGTTACAATCAAGAACCACGTTAAGTTGTAAAATCAAATATTCTAAACCAGTAAAAGCCCAAGGCAGTATTGCCTATTGCAGTATGGCTTATGCTCTCTTAATGCACTGCCCCTTTCCAAATGCATCACTGTAACTGATTTTTAAAAATAAATACAAAAATCACATACCTTTTTTCTCCTATAGATTCCTCCACCTCATTCTGCATACTGGATGAGCCTGTTCAGAGGAATTGAGGCTGTCAGTGAGGCTTCTGTCAATACAGTTTTTTGCAATTCACTGATAAAGTTAGGAGCTGTATGTAAATCAAGAAGGGGGGGGGGGGGGGTTTAGAAAAAGAGAGGGGGGGGGGGGGGGGGCTAGGAAACCTCAATAAGGAAAGTTGAGAGACCCCTGGACATTCAGATTTTATGCTTGGGCCTGTATTTACCAACCACCACACAGTAATTCTGTAGCAAGGTAAACTTCTCAGTTGCCAAGCCATAGCATGTCTCCCGTTTTATAAACAAGCAGCAAAACAGCAGATCCTTTGTTGATTTAGCCTAGTCTATTTTTCTGTATTAATGGCACAATTAATTATTCATTAATGGACTTTAAATAGCAGTGATCCAATCTTTCTATTCATTTAAACACTTTGCTTTTTGTTGTCCAGAATCAGAAATGTGCAGGTGAGGACCAGCGACTACCTCAGAGTAAAAGTTTCCCATTCATTAATGATTTTAATTTGTACTTGAAAAGAAACATGTTTGTCTACAGATGTACAGATGTCATACTAGTATATCTGGATAGTTATTTTACTACCTTCCCCAAAACTTTTTGCCCTTGGACAGAACAAAAATGGACGTCAGAATTCTTAGATATTGTCCCCTTAATCTGCCCATGCTAAATAAAACTTGCTATGGTTGCTAAACAACATAGGCAAAACTCTTCAAGAGCTGCTGTAGGCTTCTAGAAAGTCACATCAATCTATGACCCAGAGAGGGCCTTTTTAGACAGGAGTTCCACAGATCTACAAAAGTGTCAGGAAGGAAAAAAAAAGGCCTACTGATGACACTGCATATAAAGAAATGTGCTTCAATACTGCTGTTTCAAACCCGATTTCATACCAGATACCTGGGATAGCAAAAAAAAAAGTTTGTCTATTCCTCAAAAAGATCTATGAAAATACTTTTGAGAATTAAAGTGATGAACTTGAAAGATAGAAAAATGAGAACAAGCTGAAGTTGCTCCTCTCCATCTTACTAGAAAACTTTCACAATTTGACTTGTTTATAAAATAAGTATTTAGCTAAGACGCATCTAGAAGTCATGAGCCATCATCCATTCCTACCTGTTTCAGAGCTCTCTTTTGGCTAGTCTCTCAAAACTCAGTGGTTTTTTTTTTCAGCCCTTCACCCTAGTGGCACTTGCTTGGTCCTATCTTGCAGAACTACTGAAGAAACGAAGATGGCAGGCCATCTGTAATACAAACAATATTATTAAATGAGAAAGCACTAGGGACTAGAACGCACATGTTACTCTCCCAGGGAACAGCTCAGCAATAAAGACTTCAAGAAGTTCCAACTGTTTTCACCTAACAAATTTTAGAATAAAGCACACCGCTGAAAAAAGTCATTTTTTTTCCATTTCCTAACAAATTAGTAAATTCAGAAACAAAAAAGGTCCCAAGTTGTTGTTGCACCATCCCAAGCCCCTAACAAAAACATAGGCCTTGAAAAGCAGGGTGGAATTTTCTTATATGCTGAACAGCTAAAGAATCTCACGTTTGTGTAAAACAGCAGAGAGAAGTCCGCTAACAACATCTCATTGAACTTGGTAAGATCAACCTTAAGCACTCAACTTGAATCAAGGACTCTCAGAACAACGTGCCTGATAGCCGACTACTACCTATTGTTATCTTATAAATATACAATAATGTACAATACTACCAGAATGATTTAATCTTGTGTTTTATGTGGTTTACTGTCAGATATCAAGCCTTTTTTCTTTTTAGTACACACACAGAAGGAAAAAAAGCAAATAAGGAAATAAAATGTTTTTCTTATCTCAAGCTGAAGCATTTCCCGTATCACACACACACTTAGAAATTGCCTCATCTCAGGCGCTGGGGACATTACTTTCCTAGCTCTTTACAGAAATTAATAGTATGGCCTATAAATATTATTTGGCTTTTTATACAGCCATACATGCTAAAAGATAAGCTAAATGTGATCAATAAGCATAATTTGTGCAACTGATTTTACACATACCATTTACAATAAACTGCTTAACTTCTGAAAATTTAACAAGCTAACCCATCCCCATAACAAGGATACTGCGGATGAAGCAATAATAAGAAGGAATTAAACACTACTACTTCCATGAAAATAAACTGCCACTACTACAACCACCAGCCACACTACAGCTACATTATTGCATGACAAAGATACACACATTAACTACAGTTTGTATGTTTTTCTTATTTATTCAAAAGCTAGGGGATGACAAAAAGGGTTAAAATGTTTTATGCCACCTATTTATTACATGAACAAATACTTAATCCAAAGGGACTCGTTTTACAAGCCCCTCTGTCCAAAAACCACACACCAATTAGTTTTTATACACAAATGTTTATTTCTCAAATAAACTTCCCCTTTAAACACAAGGAATGAAATCTAAATCTTCATAAAGATGAATTCAAAATGAAATCCCTCCAGTACATTGTAATCACTGTTTTCTTGGTCACTACTGGCTTTAACAGTTTAACATCAAAAAACAAGGACATATTTTAAAAAAATCATGCTACTGGATTCCTAGCTCTGCCTCTGACCAGCTCTATACTGATCTCCAATATTTTAAAATTTTACATCATCAAATCTGAAGCGTTTAATTGAAGAACAGCTGTGCATTAAACACAAACAACTGAACAAGATGATTATAAGATGTAATCAAGTTCGTAACGAATATAGGTGTTCTTTTCATCATTATAGATTCTTGGATAATGTGCTATCAGAGCATCCTGTGACCCGATGTAGATTGAATTATAAATCTTCCAATAAACATCTCTGACTTTTCTGGCAGGGTGAAACAAACCCTAGAAAACAGAACAGAACAAAATTTATTAAAAGCTTAAGGTCTAAATATCTGTTATTGAATTTAATCAAGTTTTGCACAATAAGCTTTTAAAAAAAGCAGTTATAGTAACTAACACCACTTACAACAAAGAAGGTGCACTAAATGTGTCGTTCCCAATTTTTGTGACTATCTAAACCAGTAAGTAGTAATGAAGTATTATTTAGAGACAGATTTTCTTATCTTTTTCCCACAGAGAGAAACTCCACTAAATGTATTTCTAGTTTTGTATTCTTCTTTTAAAATAAAAATTAAAATCTGCTGCAGTACATTTGGTTGGAACTGTGTCTTATCTTTGGCTCTGCTAACTGTGATTTATGCAGAGAGCGCTAGATAGGAACACATGAGAAACTATTATTAAATGTAAAAAAAAAAAGGGAGCAGACTGTGAAAGCTCTAGAAAAAACAGTTCTATATAGTAAGAATATACAAGTAGTATTTGCAAAAAATACATCGTGCAAGAGACTTGTTTCACCTTCCTGTTGATGTCAGTATCTTTATGCTGAGGGTCCTCACATAAATAAAAAAAGCCACTCACACCATGGGTGCAAATGTGCAAATGCCATGTCGGCAAATAATTAGTAAAATGCTGTCACATCTTCTATACCTTGATCTGCATTACATTCATCCTTGCTTCCCATCTGTTATGCGAGTTTAGATTCTATAGCCAATGCAGCAAGAACTGTTATGTGCAATTACACAGAAAAGAAGCCTTCGGATTTTACCACCACAGACACATTTACAGAAGGTGAACTGACCAGTGTTGACCTAACAGTATAAATTCTGATCAAAGCACTGTTTTCTAGTGCTTCACTTTTACACAGTCCTAAATGTCTTACTGTTTTTCTTGGCTAACGACAAATAATGTTGATTGAATATTAAAGCCTATCCTCTCGTTTATTTATCTCACTTGTTAATTGCCATCATAACCCCAGCCATTAGTTAGTGTCCCCAAAATTTGTGAGATGCTTCCATTTTACAAGTCAGAGTGCCAGGCTATTTTAGCCAATGTATATTCTAAGTTACTTGCTATTTCTACGCAAGTTCCTCAGCGTAATCAGCTATCTCACTATACCAAAATCTCTGCTTAGTGCATATTTCAATTATTAAGTCCTTGGTACAGAATGCCATGTTTAAAGAATACTTTAAAGAGACGAGGAGCCACACTGTTTTCATTTGCTGGAAATCATCTTCAGTTGACTTTTTTGTCTCCTGGAAAGAAGTCCTGCCTGATAATTGCTGTCTCTGCTATCCCAGCATACATGAGGACGTACCTGTAAACAATACTGCAACATTCTGCAGGGACCAATAGCAACTCTGAGGCCCTCCAGAGCCCCCATAACTGCCTGAATGACATGAGGAGAGGTTTCAAACACATTAGGCCATACGTAATTTAACAAATGATTAAGAGAATCTTCACAGCCAAACCCATAAACACCAAGAGACATATGTTGCACCACGGCACTGGCTGTTTGTCTGTGTACAAGATCCCTGCAAAGAGAACAATGGCCTATTAATAAATTATACTTAGAAACAAGATGATTGGACAAGTATAATATTTCTTTTCAATAACACATTTTTGAAAGCACTAATGTACACTTTTAACCCATATTTAATGGCAGCAAGAGGCAGAGTAACAAAAAAAAAATCAGTAAATTAAGAAAAGGCGGAGTTTTCTGACAAATTACTGTGCTCTAATTCCACAGCAAAAGTACTAACAACAGAAATTTTCAAAAGCAGTTTGAATGTAAGAAGTCTTGACTCACTTAAGATGCTTGTAACATTTTAATCTTCAAAAGTATTAGTAAAATAGGAGTATATAATCTGAATTATTTGCAGACAATGGCTTCCAAATTACGCTGGTCACTTAACATCTTTAGCAAAGAAGGACAATGTGCATATTTGCTATCGTTAAGACCCAGCTATATACTTAAAATATATGACTATGGCTAACTGTACCATAAATAGAAAGAAGCGTGCTCACCTGTCCATTAAAGCATCTTCAAGCAAAGGTGTAACAGCATAAATGTAATCTTTTCCCATCTCTCCAATGTATTCAAACAGGAAAGAAAGAGATTTTAACACACCATTCTGGACATTCAGTTCTGGAACTCTGTATTCATTCATGAGTGCAGGCAGCACTGTGAAAGGTGAGCATGTTTCAGCTACAATAGCAATTGCTACTGTAGTACATACTCTGTTCTGCCTTTCCTGTACTTTCAAGTTATTTAGCAGTGTAGCCAATACATCATGAGGTCTGGAAGAGATAACATGTGCATCCACGTCAATAGATTCAGTAAGGATTTGGATAAAATTAGTTGAGTTTCAAAGAGCAAGTGGCAGAAAAACATGGCTTAGTCCTATAAAAAAGTTTAGATAACTGGGAAACAACACAGATCACAAAACTGTAAAACAGCTTAAGCAACTGCATGATCTTATTTTCATAACCAACATTTTTTTTTTTACTTTCTCTAGACTTAGCTTTGATCTTATTTTCATAACCAACATTTTTTTTACTTTCTCTAGACTTAGCTTGTTTCCTGCCTTCTGTTCTGCCTCTTGTAAATTCTGGAGGATAGCAGTAGCCTGCCCACTATTACTCTGCTCCCACAGGTAATTACAAACTTCTACGAAATCATACATGTTGACAGAGACAGGCAATGTCCTGTATAGACAAGCGTAGTTACGGCAT